GCTCAGACTCTTATTACTGGGCTCTCCTGTTAATTCTCTGCCACCGATCAGCACGATCCTCAACTCTGGAGAGTCGTGACTGTGCCCTGCAACACAGATGCAGCACTGTTTACAAACTGTAAAACTAGAAAAGTGTCTTCATACAGAATTTATGGACACGTTTGTGTAACTGCAAGTACTAGTAAATAAAACTGTGAAAACAATGTGAGTAGATAGCAGTGGTATGTTTGCTTAGCTTGTTGTCCATCAGTTTAAAAGCCAAGATGACAGAGGTGTGAAATAAAATGATGTTTTATACATACAGAATAATCTGTAAATGATATCTCTGTTAAGCACTGAGTACTCTACTGAACACTGTGGAATCTAAGCACAATCAGACATGCGACACTGAGAGTCACTTCCCTGTATGCAAAGACACGCCCAGTAACAACTGAGTCTGATTAAAAATGTGCTTCCTTGTTATGTTAACAAATAAATCAAAACAGTCTTATATTCCAATTCTATATACAGGTTTAATGAACAGAATAATATTTACCAGAGCTGGGAACAGCACGCTCATCAGCCATTGTTTAACTAAAGTGAAACAAAGAACAGGAAATGCAGAACTCAAAGAACCAGTTTTGATAATCTACAAGCTGTTTTCTTAAGTCTTTTTAAAACAGTTCAGGGAAACAGTGCTGCGAAGAAGTATTTGCCTCTTCCTCATTTCTTGGTTTTTGTTTTCTTTCCAGTTTTGTTAAATGTTTCAGATGGTAAAATAAATGTTGATATTAGACTAAAGTAACCTGATTAAAGACAACAGTGATTATTTCATTTATTAAGGTAAGAAAGTTGTCCAATCCTACCTGGTCCTGTGCGACAAAGTGAGAGCTTAGTTCAGTTTCACTAAACACACCCAGGCCTGATTACTGCCAGACTTGCTGAATCATGAAATCACCAAAAGGAAGAGAAACTGTCTGATAAAGTGAAGTAGGCTAAAAGCTCTGAAACAGCACCACATATAATAACACAGTCTAAAGAAACAGCTGAGAAATAAAGCCATTGACATCTCTCAGTCTGGAAAGACAAATGGAGAAGATTTGGAGTATAAAAGATGTCATAAGAGAACCAGAACAACATTTAAAGAACTGCAGGCCTCACTCACCTCAGTCAATATCAAAGTTCATGATTCAACAATAAGAAAAAGACTGTGAAAAATGGCGTCCATGGGAGAGCAAAACGAACACAAAGGTTCGTATCATTCCCCAAGAAATATATTAAATAAAATAATATTAAATTGAAATTATATATATTATATATAAACTAATAGTCTATGAACTGATGAGAAAAAAAGGTTCATTTTTTGGAAGTCAAACGTGGTGGTGGTAGTGTGATGGTCTGGTGCTTCTTTGCTGCACAAGGTCTGCTTGCAGTTTTTAACAGAGACTTTTACATATCCTTTATTTATCTGGGTAAAAAGTGTCATTGACATAAAAAATGTCTTTTTTTAAAGAAAGATCTGGCCAGGAGGGAAGCAGAAATTGTAAAAATAAATAATAACATAAACAGTTTTATAAACATTACTTTAAGACTAAGAAGGAAAAGATTGAACTATTAAATATATATATAATTAATATAATATAATATAATATAATTATATATAATATATACTAATTAATATATATATATAATATGCAGAATCTAGAAACATATCTTTATTTCATATATAGCCCCTTCAACAAATCCTTTTATTTTCAATTCAAATTGTATTTATACAGCACCAAATCACAACAGACAGTCGCCTCAAGGCGCTTTATATTTAAGGTAGACCTAAAATAATACATACAGAGAAACCCAACAATCATATGACCCCCTATGAGCAAGACTTTGGCGACAGTGGGAAAAAAAACCTCCCTTTTAACAGGAAGAAACCTCCGTCAGATCCAGGCTCAGGGAGGGGCGTCTGTCTGCTGCGACCGGTTGGGGTGAGAGAAGGAAGACAGGACAAAAAACATGCTGTAGAAGAGATCCAGATATATATTTATACTTCCCCAGTCTAGGTACACTAACAGGCCAGTTGCCATTTCTTTAATGTGAAGGATGTGGACGTCCTGGAGAGGGAGGAACAGAGGGACGGAGAGTAACACAGGTCATTTACATGAAAGGGGAAAGATATCTAGGCCCCTTAAGTGTACCTCTATCTCCAACTTACAATGCTGTGATTGCGTCCACTCCCCAACTCTCTGAATGGTACTCATGGTCAATCAATGGTACAATCATGAAACTGCCCATTGTTAGACATTGTTAGTTTCACCTATTATGCAAATGTACTGTTTAAAAGGTTGGGGAAACCTGCAGTCAGCTGAGAGTGAAGAAGTCACTTGGATGAGTACTGAAATGGTTCTTCCACTGAAAAAGTCCAGGAAAACAGGATCAACTTCTAGGTTTGTAATTTTTGTTTATTCTCTTTAGTGACAGGGTTTTAAATCTGTGCTAATATTAGTGTTTTCTTGGAAAAACTTACTGACAGTGGAACAGTAGGCTGTGAAAGTCTGGGTGAATATAGTTATATAAATAAAGGTAGGAAACTTTGAAGTTAATTTGCCTTCTTTTGGTTGTATGGGTAACAGGTTAGAGTGACGCTCAGTCGGGTCTCAAAAGACTGGATAAGCACAAAATATACCAAAGTGAACTGGTTCCTGACTCAATCATTCTTTTCAGGTCATAGAATTGTTTTGCTCTTCCTTATCCAGGTTAAATGAGCTTCAGTAACAGGGTTGCTGATATGTTTTTGGGGAAAAACATTTATTATTCTTCATCTTTAACATATTGATGTGATGAAAAAAATGGTGTAACAATATAAAAGACACAATTATAAAATGAATTGTAATTGACATGAAATATGGTTATCAAGAAGTTGGGATAAAATGTAAAAAAAATAAATAAAAACAGCTTCTTGATCTATTTTGTATTTTAAATATTTTGGAACCATTTTTTAACAACTAGCTTTAGCTTTTTCTCCCAATAAGTGTAATTTACACAAAAAATTATATTTTAATAGCTTTTACGTGGATGGATGGGATATAATTTTGTGAAACGTGAAATGCTCACACTAGAGGGAGCTGTCGTTATTTTACCTCTCCGTTGAAGGCGACGCCACACGCCATCTTTGTTATGGGCGGACTAGGACAGCTGATGACGGAGGCGTTTTCTTCCCTGTGATTGGTGGACTGACGCTATGCCAAAGGTCGTGTATATTTCGCGCTCTTGATTCACAACCCAACTGGCGCGCTATTGAAACAGCCGCAGTATGTGAAGAAATACGAACCTTTGGTTCGGTTTCGGAGCAGTTCGGAAAATATCCGTGTAACCTTTTAGCACTTTGCCTTCTTATATACTTGTCTGACACGCTAGTGAATGTTTGGAGCACTTCTGGGATCTGTGGGAAGCTTTTAGACTAGCATCTAGCGAAGACAGCTAGCTTGTTGTTTTACAGTAACATATTTCTTTTGTCACCAAACAGACTCACGCGATGATTTTATGTTTAGTTGTTTGTTCAGTCAGTCGTAGACGTGAATGACAAACCTTTGCAGCAAGTTCCGGTTCGGCTTCATCGGTGAGTGTTTCCTTTGTTTACGTAGTTTCTCTTGTGTCGCACAAAACTGGAAGTTCCTGGGCGCCATGTCAGGAATAACATCATTTTACAGCTTAGTTGTTGTTCGCGAACACCATAAGTAACAGACACGTGAGCCTAGTGTTTATCAGCCTTTTCATACTGACAGTGCTTTAGCAAAACTTCTACTTGGCTGTCGTGACATTGACAAAAAGCGCTGACAGAACACTACTTTAAAGAAAAAGAAAGGCTTTGTGTTATCACTTGTAAATACACTTAGTGTTAAAGTAATTATTAATATTTCTGAATGTAAATACCACATGCTTTTATCACAATGTCAAAACATAATAAACGCTCGTAATCCGCGCAACAAAATAAAAGGAAAACGGCTAAATCATCCAGAACATACCTGAATGCAGATGCATCATACAAAGTACAAATAACCTGCACATAGCTTTATTTTAATTGTTGATTTTCATGTCCCCCCCTTTCTTTCCCCATTGTTATTTTTCCGGGTCCTTTTTTTTTCTTGCCACCAGACTCGCTGCCTGGTGATTGTAGTGAATTTTTCACATTCAGCGACTGATTGCAACTTGTGGTGACTAAAGATTGCCCACTCACGACCAATTTGGATTGCACAGGTTGCCTAGTAGGAGGCAACCTTTTTGCAGTCAGTCTGACTTTGACTGCCTGCCATTACTCGTTTAAGGTTTGCAAATAGTTAGATCTAATTTATAAACACTGACTTATTGTTGGTTATTGTAAATATTGGATATTTACAAAGTTTAACTTTGAGGTCATCATTTGCAGTTAACAAAAGGTTCAAAGATCTCAATATATGTTAATGAAATACTCGGCAAAAAATAAAATAAAATAAAAACATCAAAAAGTATTGTGATAATATCATATTATGGAGTGTCTGGTGAGTCCCACCTGTAGCTTGTAGTTATTATTTTCTCTAAAAATGGTAAAGTCACAGAGGAGGAGAGATGGCTCCTTGGCAGGAATCAGTATGAGGGAAAATTAGAAAATGTCAGGTGACAGGATGGCTGGGTCTCTGGGAAAAGGAAAGTAGTTAAACTTTCACCTGAATCTCTGATGTGCCTTTGCTGATCTGTTCTTCTGCAGAGTTTTGTGTAACAGTGTTTTATTTCTTTCTGCTTTAGGTCTCGTCGGAAAATGGCTGGTGTTGTGGCTATGCCTTCTGTCATTGAGGACTTTGACAGCCAGGTGTGTTATGACACTGATTTGAGCAGCGCATCAAATGCACCAACTATTTTTAACTGCCTTGCATTTTTATCTTTGATTAAATTTGTCTTTCTTTTGCAGCCTTGCAAGAAATCTCGCAAAGATGGTGGCAGTCCTGTTGTCAAAACAATCACCAACTATTTCTCTCCTGTGCCTAAGCCTGTGGAGAAACCCTTCTCTCCTCCACGTTCCAACAACATCATGAACTACTTTAGCAAGAGGGCTCCATCCTGTAAAGTGAAAACCAGCTCACCAGAGCAAACTAAAGAAGCAGGGAGGCCTCATTTTGCAGAAAAACACAACAATCCGGAGACGGTGAAACAGCTGTCTCAGAAACGGGGTCGAAAAACCAGCAAAGCTGCAAGGAAACTTGTGGGGGCTGAAGGTGTCAGTTCCACCGAGGAGTCAAGTTGCGTGACTGTACAAGAATCCCATGAAAGCAAAGACCAGGCTGTAGATGCAGTTAAAAGTTTTGGAGTCCTTGGCAGCGATACAGCAGCTCTACTGGCCCAGCTTAGTGCTGAGAGCTGCATTCCTGCAGAAACATCAGAGAGGAATGCCACTAAGATTATCACGGATGAGCAGGCTGAGAAAGATGATGATCAGGAAGATGGTTCTAAATGTGTTGAACTTAAAACAGCACTAAACACTATTGAGTTGTCTCCGATTGTACCATCAAAGTATGAAGCAAAACAGGTTAAAACCACACCACAAAATACCAGGAAGAGGCAGCAACAAGAGGCAAAGCAGTCAGAGGCAGAGGAGAAAGAAGCAGAAACTGAGAACTCTCTCCGTGATGTAAGCACGGAGGTCAATGTTGATGAGTCTTCTCAGTTGAACAGCAGCACAGTAAGAATCTCCTTTGAGGATTTTGTGCGGAGTCAGAATCAGGATGAGGCTGAAGAGGACAAAGAAGCTGAAGAAGTAAAAGATGATGACCGTAAAATTAAAATTGAGACAAAGGAAACAAACTTGGGTGAGCTGGATATTTCCAAATCTGAAGAAAACATGGTTCCTAAGGAGTCGCCGTCATTTCAGGTTTCACCCCGAACTGTCACCATCCAGGCTCAAGTGCACGTCTCACCAAAACAAGAACCAAGCAAAGCAGTGGGAAAGTTGGCTTCCATCTTCAACCGGAGAAAAGGCGCGCATAGTCCTGCAGAGAGATTCTCACCTTCTCTCGCAGAGGCTGGACACCAGCTTCCTTCTCTGACTACCAAACGGAAATCCAACGTGGTTCTCCAGGAGGAGGATCTAGAGCTGGCAGTGCTCGAGAGCGAATC